TTCATGATTTTCGCGGTGATGATTAAACGACAAAGATAGCTTAGCTATATACGGAATTTCATATCGTTATCCTTGTTCTTCAAAATGTATAACAATAGTTCATTACCAGATAAGCAAACTTAGATTTATCAACTGAATTAAATATTGTCACGGGGAGGTTTATCACACATACTCTGCCATGCTACTATAGCTTAATTTGTTTTTTAAATGTAAGTACATTTCATATTGTACTTTTTGAGTATTCTAAGCTATCGAATGTCCTGTATTTAAGCGTAGTTAACTTCACCTGTCAAGAGGATTGCTAATAGCGACACGAGACGCTGTCTTGTCGGGTATTTAGTACCTATTGGTACACCACATGTTGCAACGAGTACCAAATAGCTATTTTTGTAACTAATTTGTTTTACATTGTCGAGCTGCAATTTACCAAAACCAGAGAACAAAACAGTAACCAGAATGGACACTCCCCGCCCCTCCCTAACTTAAGATACCGCACCACGGCCCGCACATTGACTGAACGGCAAGAAGGCTGTCGGCGAGCCGTTTTTGCACTAAGACTGCTTTGATATTTGAATAGTTTTCATTTAATTCATTACGAAACTTGTGCGATAATACACTATATAACATCATTGTAGCACGCCAGCACATCAAGCTACACATTGACGTATCTTGTTCCGTTGCAATAGAGGCGATTTTCGAACAATAATGTGTAGTCTGATGTGCCGTTGTCCATACGTTACTATGTATTAATTAATGGTCGTGAGTTGTGCTGTGTACGGGTGGTTATTATTTAAACGGGATAAAAAGGAATTTCTTTCGTATTCCGAAAGATGAAACGAGGTAAGTAAAGTAAAAACACTTATGTTTGAGACTCACCAGTTATTGTTTTCTTCACTTGAAAGCGGGTAAAATTTAATAAACCGGTTTCATCCGCTAACTTGCCACCCTTGGAGGTGGAATACGTTCTTCATATTTCAGTGGGACCATTAGTGAGATACCCCTTATCCAACAAAAAAAGATTCATCGCAATCGGTTCACAAATATCGGAGTAAATGCGTAACATACATACACAAAAAAGCCTGTCGAATTGAGAACCTTCTCCTTTTTGAAGTCGGTTTAAAATAAGACGCTACAGTCTCTTCTTTGCAGACAAAACTGTTTTGGAACTGGGAAGGCTTTACCTACAGGTAATGCAATGAGGAAACGGCCAAATTTCTGGGATGAGATAAGGAAAGAAAAGAAGACAAATTAACACAATGTTTTTAATAACTTATTGACAACATGACAAATATTTTCGCTTATTTTAATAGTAGATTTAAAAATATATCTCCAAAAATATATGTGTACAATAATTGTACGTATGATTACATAACAGTATCACATAGAGTAGTGGTACAATGGAGGCGGAGGCGAACACCTTGAACGCATCGCGATGAACAAAGATTTCGATAGACATCGATAGAAATATTAAAATACAAAAATAAAAGATCAATTCGAAGGAGAATTAGAATAATATGATAAAAAATTACATTTATATCTCGGCTACATTGAATCCATAAGTAAAGAAGCGAAGTCAAATCTCAAATTAGATCTAAAATATAGATAGTCCTCTCAGCCACTACTACTTATTCAAATAACTTGAGAAATCGGTAACGTAAACAAAGGATGCACAATATCGCGTTGTACAATCATTAACAAAAGAACTATACCTAATTCGTAGACAAAAAGTGCATTATAAAAATTATCTGTTAACAAAACAACAAATGTGTATAAAAAAACATATATTATTTATTACACTTAGTCGTATACTATTTTTAAGCAAACGAACAACTAGGCACTATGTTACCTAACTTATTTATGCGCTCTGGCTAAGTAAAATATACTAAAATGCAAGTTCATCAAGCATACCAATTTCATTGTGCCATTGTTCACGACAATAAAAAAATATATTCCTTTTGTTTTAAATTTTTAATCTCAGGCACATTACAAAAACAATCTCGAAAGTGTATCCAATATTTTAGTAAAATTATTTTTATTCGCCAATACGATATGCCAATTGATATTTTCATTAAATAAACATTTCATTGCGGGTAGACAGTTATAAAAATAAATAAACAAATATGTGCATTAAAAAAAAAATTTTTTTTTAAACTATATCGTTACAATTGGAACAGAGGAAAGGCAGTTATTACTGAGATTTTCTAGTTTTAAAAATATAATATTAAAAGATAATCGATAAATAAACACTATATGTACTCGAGTGTACTTAGTTTGCTAATATCGCGTTTGCTTACAGAATGAAACTACATTTCACATTACATGTTCGTGCGAAGATTTGTATAATATCTTTATATTCCTCGTTTCGAGTGCATAATATCATTGTTTACACTATTGTAAATGGCAACCGCGATTGTAAATAAATTTATTTTAAAAAATATAACGTAATAAATTAACAAGTATAGTTAAATTACGTAACTAGACAAACTAGTGTCCATTAACGTCCTGCGTTTACAGATGTTGTCAAACATGTTTCGGATTTACAATCATGAGAATGCGAATATCTAGATGGAAGACGCGGATTTGGCAAAGTATATAAAGAATCATTGCATAATTGACTACTGATTAATGAAAATGAATTAAAATACCGTTGATTAATGATTCTCGGTCATATTTTAAGGGGAGTATGTCACCACCATGGTCACACACGATGGATAGGTTGCACAAAGATGTCCCTGATCGTATATATATATTGTTTACGTTGAATTGTGTACCTGTATTATTTTCTAATTGTTATTATTACAATGCTCAACAGATGGCCCTCACAAAATTATGAAACTGACCCACTGTCCACAGAAAACATATTATAGAGGCGCCTTCTAGTGGCAGAATAGTGAACTATATAGTTGAGAGCTGTCAATAAGCCTTGCCACCTTTTCACCAATTTATTTTTATCTCTGTCACTTCATAAAGAAATAATCGAATAAACGTAAACCTTCCGCGGCTTCCAACAGCGTGTCTAACTTATTTCTATAAGTTCGACGTTAAACTTAAACATGTACCTATATTTAGGAAATGAAACTATTTTTCCGGAAAAATCCGGAATAATAGTTTCATTTCCTATGTGTAACAATCGCGAAAACCTAAGAACTCGATAGGTTACCTATATTTATCATTGTGCTATTCTTAACGTCATCTGTACTCAATCGTAGTCTGAAACTTATGCCTTTTCGTTCATACTGAAAAGAAAAGTATTATTTTAAGCTTTTGCTCACACGCACCAAAAAAGTAGTAGTTGGTTTAAATCAATTACGCAATCACAGTATGAGATCGCTAAGTTTGAATTTCAAAGTGTATTTCTAGAATTAAAGCAATGCCAGTTAGTTCATTTAAATTTTTAGCTTCATAACTACAACAAAAATACTTGATTCGTCGATCCAAAGCGTCCGTAGTATATTATATATTATGTGTAAATCTGAATTATATAAATCGACCATTCACCGCTGGATTAGTAATGGACCAATAAGCAAACGCTTCAAATACAGCGCTGACGTCTGATTGGAACATGATGTTCTTTCGCTTTTGAAACACGGTTGCAAATTCAAACTAACCAATCACATAGCTTTAATATGACGCAAGTGGAATTTAAACTGACGAATTACGTGAGTTTCAATAATAGAATAAAATAAAAGGTGTATTGACCTATATTAAGCTATTGAATCAATGGAAACCAGCTATTTATACGTACCTAAAGTATGCAGCATTCATTTGTTCAAGGAATATGAATGTAAGTACAGTGTGTGGACCCAGACGGGCGTAGTATGGTAGGAAACCTTTCCATAGAGAAAATACTCCTTCCTTTCGTATCAGGTTGGTTACCACTGACATTTGACTCTGGCCCTTTTCTGCGTTTTGTATTCTGTAAGAAAACAACGTTGCATCGTAGATTGGTTATTTATTAACATGATGCTAAAAGTTTCCTCGAAATGGTTTCACCGTTAAACCAAATAACGGTTAAAACACGTAAGACTTCTATGATGGGTATTTTTAACTAGCTGCATTATTTGACAATAAAACCAATATTTCAAGGCCTAACATCAATTTTTCTAGACATATTCATACTAAAGTATTTGCGCGCGTCCAATCAAATCTGTGTTTTCTACTAATGATTAACATTGCTTGCATCTGTGTCAAGCAATCACAGGCTTTTATCATTTTTGCCATTAATATTTTTCTTACAAAACTTTTCTGCAAAATATTATTAATTGGGCTCAATTGTATATTTATTTCATTTTTATTTGAATATTTTTTGAATTATTTGAATTCTTCAAATTAATAAATTTACTCACTTTGTCTTAATAATATCGACAGGCATGGAGGCGATCGTGGTGACAAGACCGGAGATCATAGAAGCACAGAAGTGCAGCAGGATGCCTTCAGATATGTACACAGCTATCATCTCACGCGCCTGGAACAAGAAATATAAATGAATCAAAATATGTTTCTGTTTTGTTATCTCAGCGGGCTTAAAAAAGTTTAGGCTTAGTATTAAACCTTGAGGAACGCCCATGTCAATTGCAGACCCTGCTGACTTCGTACCATTATTGATATCGACTCTCTGGACCTATCACAAAACAAGTAAATTTTGAAAAGGTGGAGGGCACATCTCGTTACACCGTTATGGCGTAGTCCTGATCGTAATATCATGGCGCACACAATCAAAGGCTTTCTTTAGGTGGCAAATATTGTACATTTTAAATAAACTCTAACCTGGGAGTACGTGCTGAGTTGTGCGGCGTTGACGACCATTGCACGAGCGACTGTTGGCGTCGCTCCTCGCCATAGCTTTAACACGCCCTCCTCTTTCACTATTCTGAAACCATCCATCAATGCAATTTCTCAATTTTCGTTCTGAAACCAGTAATGTTACCAAAATGGATTGAACGTTTATGCACAAAGTGCAGTAAATCCAATTCTAATTAGACATAAATTTGACGATTGTATCGATTCTAAGTATCGGCCCTCTGTAAATTTTATAAAATATTTAAAAGGTGTGCGTATAATAGCACTGAAATATCAAGTTAGTGTTTATAATATGAAAGTGACAAAATGCAAAAGCGCATAGGCAATAATGATGAATTACCTGGCTAAAGCGTCAACGACATTTTTGTAGTTTCTTCTCTGTTCCTTGGGCAGTCTGCCGTCAGCTGTCATTCGGATAAGGGCTACCTCAGCCGGAGTACCGACGAAGGCACCAATGGCGCCTGCTGCGATGCCCAGCACCGTCTTTATAGCGAATCCTGGTGATGCTCCTTGGTTGCCTCTAAAAGAATTACATTAAATGCTATTAACAAGTGGAATATTACTTTCCGCACCCAATGCAACAATGCTTTTAGGATGCTGTTGCAGGCTCCGAGGTTATGTAGCTCGTCTGCGATGTTAACGAAAGCACGGACAGAATACTTCTCAGCCGTCCTGCGGCATGAAAATCGCTTCTCTTCTAAACAGACTACGTACGAGTAACAGTGTCGAAAGCATCTTGAAAATTATTGCTGAGAATAGAGGGACTAGACGCAGATTTTATTAGACCTAAATTTCAAATAATATATGTACTAACATAGTTTATAGGTCTGTTACTAAATGAAGTACCGGCACGCTATGATGATCGTTTTGACAGATTACAATAGTGAGGTGAAATCTCAATTCATTGTCGAAAAAATATAATCAGATGCGAGTCACATTTATAAGTTTTTACATTTATAACTAGTATT